AAATAGAAGGAAAAGATAGAAATGAAGCTTTTGTACATAGGGAGAGGGGAGAGAAAGGGCTTCAGGAGACAGGGGAATGGGAAAAAGAGGCAAGATGTATCATACACAGGTGCAAATTTCCTATGACGAGTGTTACCGTTATGCATGCCTAAAACGTACCAATAAACGTTTTCCTGTTAAAAGCATGTTCAGGCTATAGCTGGGTATACTCAGTATTTTTACCAAGCTTGAAATCAAGAAAGAAAGCAAGATGGTTCTGCCGCCCGAATTGCAAGTACAAGGTTCCCGAGTTCGATCCTCGGTACAAAAAAAAAAGAACAAAGCAAGCAAGCAAGCAAGCACAAATCCCATTTAAAAAGTTTTCAGTTTCAACAAAAGGAAGAGCCTGAAGAGTTGATGCCTGCAGAGTTGGAAAAAAGGATTGCTGAAAATATTAAAAAGAAGCTAAGTACTTTATATTAGGACAATAGGAAGGATGACTTGAGGGCGTACTGGGAAACAAGACCCCACCCTACACACTACAAAAAACGAAAGACTTTGCTTTGAGAGGAGAGGCCGGTGGCAGAATACTCTTTTCTAGGCTGAAGAGGAAAATGTTTCCCAGAGTTCAGCCATCTAGGCACTAAGAGGCCTCTTCAGCCACAATCCAAGGTATCCTGCTATGGCTTGAGTGAAACCGGAAGTGCAAAGAGACCCGAGAAAAGTAGAGAAGCCACGTAACTGGACTATATGAGGAAAGCTGCAAGGAGTAACTAAAGCTAGCCCAAGAGAGAGGCCATGGAGGCTAAAACCACTAGGAATCCCATAGGAATAGGGCTACCCAGACCTTTCCAAAATCATGTATGACCATACCTCACCATGGGCACTGGACATAGAATGATAGGATTTAATGTTTGCCCTGCTGTGTTTTGGTCTTGCTTCAGTTACATTGGTTTTTATCCTCCTGTTCTCCTTTTTGGAATAGGAATGTTTACCCTCTGCCTTTGTATGATAAACTTTTGATTTTTACAGGGGCACACAGCTAAGTGCTTGCCTTAAGTCTCAGAGAAGGCTTTGGACTTGGACTTTTCAGCAATGCGGAAACTGTCAGAGCTTTGGAAACTCTTAAGAGATGTACTAAATGCATTTTGCATAAAAGATACACATGAATCTTTGGGAGGGCCCAGGGAGGAATGTTATGGTAGAGATCGAGTGCATCCCCGCCAAAGCCTCCCCCACCCTCTGCCAAAGCCTCTTGATCCTACCGGGACTCTTCAAAGGACTGAACTGTGGGGTGCTATAGCTGACTTGGAGTTGGGTGGTGGGGCCTGAGCTGGAGAGAGGTCGATGGGAATAGGACTGTAAGGGTATGTTTCCCCGCCTGACTCCTTTGTTCACTCTCTGCCTCCTGGTTGCCACGCTGTGAACAGCTTGCCTTTGTCAGATGTTGAGCCATGCATTCCTGCCTTGGATCTAGTCAACTGTGGTCTAAAAATATGAGCCCAAATAAACCTCTCCTTGTTTAAAAAACAACAAAACTAAAACCAAAAAATGTTTAAGGCTAGCTTAGGAAACTAAGTGTGAGCCCTATCTCCAAAACAAAACAAAACAAAAAACAAAGCTAAGAATACAAATCTTACTCTTATTGGTGGAGCCTTTGCCAAGCATGTGTGACATTCTGGGTTCAGTCCTCTGCACAAAATAGCAGAGGATGCTTACAGCTTTGTTTTCCACATATGAATTTTATCAATCATGTATACGTTGCCTTTAATCATAGACCTTTCAATACATTATTTATCCAAGGTAGGCAATGACAGGCATCAGGGGAACTGTCTCATGGTGACATGGTGAGAACTTCGAGCCCAGAGCTTGAAACTCCCCTCAGCTAGCAATGTGGAGTCAATATAGGACCCTGGACTGCAGGTCTCAAGGTTCTTAATTCCCAACCCACAAACTAATTAGTTCTGTGTCCTTGAGCCTTCACTTTACCTAGGCCTTATAAATAACTACAGGGGAGGCAATTTAGGAATAAATCTAAATTAAGTCAGTTACCTGTGCAAAGTCAAATGATCCTTATCGGGCTAGAAGAAGTATTTTATGTGTTTTATCACTTGAGGGCCTTGACTCTGCACTATATTCTCAACCCTTTTTTCTTTTTTGGGGAGGGTAGCATTGAGACAAGGTCTTGCTATTAGTGTAGGCTGTTTCTGAACTCACAAATGTAGCCCAGGCTGGTCTCGAACTTTCGGCAATCCTCCGGCCTTAGCCTCCCGTCTAGGATTACAGGCATGAGCCACCATGCCTGGCTATTTTTTTGATACAGCGTCTCACTATGTATATGTAGTTCAGACTGACCTCGAACTCACTGTCTCAGCCTCCAGAGTGCTGGGATTATAGGTGTGTGCCATCATGCCTGCCTTTTATTTTCTCATTTTGAGACACGGTCTCACAAAGTTGCTAAATATCCCTGGTTCAGTTTGAACTTGTGATCCTCCTACCTCAGCTTTCCAAGTATCTGGGATTAGAGGTGTATCCCACTGTACCAAGCTATAAACTTTATCTTCACCTCATGTAATTTATTCCTTGTAAGGACCAATACTAATAGCATGTTTTGGGTTTTTTTTTTCTAATGCTGGGGATTGAATCCAGCATCTTGTGTATGCTAGGCAACTGCTCTACCACTGACCATGGGGCAATTCCCCAGCTTTTTTTATTTATTTGTTTTTTATATTTTGAGACAGAGTCTCACTAAGTTGATTGGCCTCAAACTTGTGATCCTCCTGCCTCAGTCTCCCAAGGAGATGAGATTATAGTTATGTGCCACCATGTTCAGCTAAAAGTCTCCATCCTACAGGTTTGAGGAAATGAAGGCTCAGATGGGTGAATTCACTTTCTCAAGGTCACACAAAGTCACCTGCAGTGCTGGGACCACATCCAAGCCTACCTCCTTGTTATGGTTTATATCTAGATGTCTCCCCAAAGCCTTGTGCAGTCATTGGTAAGGATTAGGGAGGCGAATGGATCACAGGGGTGTGATACGCATCAGTGAATTACTTCAGTGATGAGTTCATAGCTAAATGTGACTTGGGAGGTGAAGACTGCACGGAGGAGGCGGGTCCGTGGGGCACAGCCTGGTTTATCTCCCTCCTCCCTTGGTCTCGCTCTGCTCCTCCGTCAGGCCATAAGGAAGCCCCTTTTGTCATGTGCCCTGCGTTGGAGCCAGCCCACCATGGACAGAAGCCTCTACAAACTGTGAGCCAAAATAAACCTTTCGTACTTCTACTTGTGGGGCTTGGATATTGTGTCCCAGCAACAAGAAGGCAACTAAGACACTACCCCTGGAGCTTCATACTGCCTTGCCTTCCAGAGCAGCTTAGCCAGGTCTTCTGACTGTACATTCTATTTTTCTGTACACCAACCAGACTCACTGTTATTGATAGATTCCCCAGCTGTGAGCTCCTCACTACAACTTTTATCTTACTGTTTTTAGCCTCTTAGCTTGTTATTATTCACTCATTTAATAAAATTTACTCTAAAAGAGAAACAAAAGTCACACATCATTTCTGCTTCTGCAGAAGTCCGATGGGAGAGGTTGCACTGATAAAACAACATCACATAGTAAAGTTACAACTGATTTGGTCTTACGAAGGACAGGTACTCAGCAGGGAGGTCAAAAAATGTTTCTCAGGAGTGATGCCTCTCCTAGATCTGAAAGAAGAGTTAACTCAGGATGGAGATGAGAGTTTCTGAAAATAGTAACATCAAGGCCCTGGGGTAGGAGGGTGCCTGGTACAGAAGAGGAACTGAAGTGACCACTGGGGTTGGAGAATGGGGGACAACATGGAGAGAAGCAGAGGTCAAACCACGCAAGGCCTTGTATGCTATGCTAGGGTTTGGTTTTAAATCTGAGAGCAGTGGGAAGCCACATAGAGTTTATAAGCAAGCTCAAGCATGGTGATTAGAGTTGAGTTTCAAAAAGATAACATAGGGTTACTGTAGGAATACTACCTTAGGCTGGAAGGTAGGCCACTCAGAAGCTACTGCAGTTGTCCAGGTGATAAAAATTGGTAGTTTGGGGCTGAGCATTTAGCTCAGTGGTGCTGCCACCTGCCTTGAAAGCAGAAGGTCCCAAGCTCAAGCTCCAGGAGCACCCCCCCTCCCCCAAAGAATGGTAGCTTGGAACAGGGTGGCAGCTGAGACAGAGAGGTAGGCGGTTAAAATGAAGATGGGTGGATGAATTTGAAACACATTTGTATCAGCTTTTTAAGATTTGCAGGGCTATAAATCAAACCCAGGGCCTTCCACACGCTAAGCGTGTGCAGTCCGAAGGCCCGGCTAAGTGCTCTGTCATTGTGCCACATCCCTAGCCTTCAGGTGACTTTAAATGGATTGACTGCGGTAATGTGGGAGGGTCTCAGCCAGTCAAGCAAAGGCAGCAATTGTTAATACAAGTTAACTACAGAAGGAATTCTGCTTCAAGACTGTAACACAGAAATCTGACCTGTGTTTCCAGCCTGCCGGACTGCCCTACACATTTTGATGTGACAGCCCCTATAACCATAGGAGCTAATTCCTTAAAATAAATCTCTATATGCTATTAGTTTTCTGGAGAACCCTGATTAAAATTTTATGAAATAAAGTGGAAAACAAAAAATGAGTCAGATCAAGGTTGCAATGTTTGCCCTATTGCATATCTGTTGTGTGATGTTGGGCATTTCTGCCAATTTCTGAGACCCAAGGTCCTTGTTAGAGATAATAATAGTATCTAAATGATGTCATAAGTGGAAAAGGTCACTGCAATCTGCAAAATACAATTACATTTTTAGTTTAAGGCTGCCTTCCTAGGATTAGAAATGTTGCAAATTTAACTGCCAGACAAAATTGGTATTAGTACGATCAAGGAAAAAAATACTCCCTGGGTCATTATGATGACCAACATATGTATAGTCTTTATGTTCCTGTCTCATTTAACCTTGACTCACAATAGCAACACAATGATTTGGTGGTATTTTATATTTTACCTCTGACAGTGGATTCAACCTCTTTTATGGCAGCTTCATTTTGAGCTTCTGCAAGTTTTTCATTAATTTCCATTATTTCCACGAGGAACTGGTTGTCCATTTCATAATCTGTCCCTTCAGGAATGTCTATTCCATGGAGCTTTAGCTATTAGGGCAAAGAGCAAGAAAGATAATTCTGGTTCAAGACATTGTGGCCCAAGTCAGTAAATCCTGTACTTCCTTCAGAATACCACTTGGGGAAAACTTGAACTGTACTGGAATGAAAGTCTGACAGGAGGCTGCCAAAAGCTTGGACTGAGACAGGAATACTGGTCCAGGATTCCACTTTCTGCTGCCTGAAATTGTGTGGTTCTAGGACATCATTCCTATAAGAAGTTGAAATTGATGTTTGTAAATACTATTTAATTCTAAAATTTTATGGATGTTCTTGAAAAAAATACACCTCAAATTATTGCACACTAAGAACTATCATCGTCAAATCCCTGAAACTTATAGAACATAGTTAAAACAATGCATCTGGGACAAGCAAGATTTGCGAAGAATATCCACAGAAAGCTATACTTCAGTAGTATCTTTCTTTTTCTTTGTATAGTACCTTTGAGGCTAAGTATCACGGGGATCTTGGATTAGCTCAAGTTCAAGCACTCTTCTGTGGAATACAGAGGAAGCAGCCATCCTACATGACAATGAACGATAGGAAGTCATACATAGAAGGGATGGGAAATCACCTTACTAGGTATAGTCCCCTACTCAGGGGGGCCAGGAGAGTCTTATAGGCCTCATTCACCATGGTTGAATGCTTCTCTGAGAATTCCTTTTCAGTCTGTTAGAAATGAATATAGTCTTATTACCACTGAAATCAGTATTCTTAAATTCACTTTTTTTTTCCCTTGTGGTACAGGGGAGTAAACCCAGGGAGCACTGAAATATATCCTCAACCCTTTTAATTTCATTTTATTTTGAGTCAGGGTCTTGCTCTATAATCCAGGTTAGTCTGATAGTCCCTGCATAACCCAAGGTGGCCTTGAACTTGAGATCCTCCCACCTCAACCTCCTGAGTGCTGTGATTATACATGTACGTCCCACCAAGCCTGGCCTTATTTATTATTATTTTTTGTGGTACTAGGCATTGAACTCAGGAAGGCTGAGCTACTTCCCATGCTCTTTTGATTTTCAGACGAGGACTAAATTGGCCAGGCTAGCCTTTAATTGGAGATCCTCCTGACTTAGCCTGTGGTGAGGCATTGAGTACCTGTGGTTACAGGCATGCACCACTGTGCCCAACTTTTTATAATATGCTGATGCGCAGGTGACTAAAGAAGTAGCCAAAGTACGTAAAACTGGTGTTGGACGAGGTGTCTTTATTTTTCTAAATGTTTTTTTTTGTTTGTTTGTTTTTTTGTACTGGGGATCGAACTAGGGTCTTTGCGCTTGCAAGGCACGCGGCGGAACCACTGAGCTAAATCCCCAGCCCTATTTTTCTAAGTTGTATGGAACATCAGAGAGAAGCTATAAGTGGATGATACCTCCAGGACCTGCCTGGTTGGGGATGCCACAGATGTAGCTCGTTACTCAACTCCGTCCCGATAATGTCATTAACCACAAGGCCACTGCCACCCCCCCAGTATGCGCACACGTTTGGGGAATAACTGAGGCAGCCAATAAACTACCTGAGACCTCTGGCTGAAGAAATCGGGGTGGACGAGGCGCTGTAGCTGCTGGTACTTACGCTGGAGCTTTGTGGTGTCAATTCGGAAGGAATGGTGGCTGGAAGAAAATTGGGAGATGAAATTCGTGCAGCAAATACTACAGGTTTATCTACTACAGGTCTGGTTCCTGCTCTCATGGGGAAGGCGAAATAAAATCGGACAAACGTGGTAAACTGCTCTGAAGGAAAACAGAACAAGGCCGGATAAGGGAGCTGCGGAGAAAGACTATCAGAGGAAGTAGTCACCAGGCTGGAGAACCGCAAGCGCAAAGACCACGACGGCAGCTTATTTCAACCCAGTGCCCTTCGTTTTCTCCTCATTTCCTCTCCGGTTCGGCTCTGCCCACACCTTCCCTCCTCTTTCCAAGCTTCTCAACCTTCAAGGGAACAAAGGGAAAACCTCCATTTCTTGGACTGTACCTCTTGATTACCACTTTCCTCTTAAACCTGGCCCACAACTTGGTCTATCCAGTGTATAATTTTTGTTTTGTTTTGTTCTGATGTGCTCTGCGGCGGACAGAACACCAGGGACTCTCGCAAGCTACGCTGGTGCCGTACCACCGAGCTAAAGCCCCTTAGTTCCTCATCCCGGTGGATGGTACGCGGAGTACACCACTTGCCTCTGCAAAGTTTCAACCCCACCTCAAGCTCCTCGGCCCGACCCCTTCCCCCGAGCTCCGGCCGTGGCCGTCTCCACCCTCTTCCCACAGGTTCCGCCCCGCCAAAGCAAACGGGGGCCCCCAGTTC